AAAGGGAGGTAGGAAAGAGGGAGGAAGGAGGAGTGGTGGTAGGATAGCGAGGAGGAAGGTGTAGGCAAGTGAGAGGGTGGTGCAGAAGGGGGACACCGGACACGTCCGTGAATGTATTGATTGGTGTTGATTCTTTTTATGGTTGATATTGTGATAAAAGATTTATGTTTCTGTTTTTCAATGAAAAATCAATAAAAAAAATTTTTTTAAAAAAAAGAAGGTCAGTTAGTTCTTGGTCGTCATTTGGCAGGGTCGGAGTTCTCTCGCCTCTTTTGGGGGATGGGGTGAATTTGACGGCTTCAACCCCTTTCTGTGAGGTCTCCCAGACCTTCTGCGGCGCCTTAGTAGTTTCTCTCCCCCCCCCCCGAGCTCAAGGTGATCTTTTTGGCGGGACGGCCAATTTTGCACTTTGCTGTCCAGTGCCCTTCCTGGCAGCACTTAAAACGGTAAAGCCTAGTTGCGGGTTCTGCGGTTTCGTGGTCTCTCTTTTCTCTGGAGGTGAAATCTTCCATGGCCATGTCGCATGATGCTTATTGTGCACTTGGTCGATCTTCACCTCAGCCAGGATGTAGCATGCATGGGAGGGTCATGGGGCTCTCCTCAAGACGCAGGCATTGTACATTCAATCCATCTTTGAACAGCTGATGAGGATATCGTCTGGCCAGTCATTCAGTCAGCATGCCAAATCATGGAATTCCTCAGTGTATTCCGCCACCACTCTGCAGCCCTGACGCATGGTTTTGATGCGGTTCCTCACTTTACGGTCAGCTAGGTAGTCCTTGAATTGCCGTCATGAAATGATTGAAGTTCCTCAGCTCAGGTGCATTCATGTTGTGAAGTGTCACCATCCAGCATGCTGCGGCCCCCTCCAATACTCTGCATCTTAGTGCCTTCAGAGGGAATCTCCAGCCCATACTCTTGAATATATGCCAGGACATGGGCTAGGAAAAATTCCAACTGTTAGGGATACTCATCAAACTTTACACTGAGGGGTCTTCCAGTGTTTTTCCCTTGGTTGGCCAGTTCCCGCTGGATAAATGAATATTTATCATTTTTATAAGGTTTTACAAAACACTCTTGCATTAATTTTTTTTATCAAAGTATTTCTCCACATTTTAAATGCCCCTGGAAACTGCATTTTAATGTATCAGTATTATCAGATTACAAATGTGATTATTAACACAATTTTATACAATATATACACAATTTTATATATTTAAATATCAATAGCACAAATAATTAAATGACTGGTGAAAATCAACCAATAGTATCCTCAAAAACTTGACAAAAGGATTGACTTTTGTCATCTTATTGTATTATCACAGTTTAGAAAAGATCAAATTTATGTTGTGTCTTTGTAGTGGAGTAGTGTATAAATTATTTTCATGGTACTTCTACAGGACGTACTGAAATAATTTTAGGACAAAATATCTTATTTTAGTGAAAGAAAATTAAATTAAGATGCAAGTTTGCTTTTTTCTTCTTTTTATACAATATCTTTGTAGTTTCCTTAGTAACAGTACTCATTTTTAATAGGTAGCCTTGTCCAAAGAATACTGGAAACAAAGAAGGATTATGAATTATCACAGTTGCAAAAATCTGCTGAAAAGGTAACTCGCTAATAAACTTCGAAGAATTGTTTATGGCAAATTTTTATCTATTACACTTTATTAATATCTCCAATATAATGATCGTTTAACTGATTTTAATATTAAAGCAATGGTTATCATAGGGATGTAAACAAAGAAAGCATTGTTTCAACAGCATTTGTTTTATTACTTTGGTATATGCCACTCAAAGTCCCTTTCCGAGGGAACTGGGCGGTTCAGAAATGTGACAAATGGAAGGAAGGAAGGAAGGAAGGAAGGTATTAAGGTACTCCTGGTTTAAAAGTTGTAATTCTTCTCTAAAGAAAAAATTCCACCCTGGCTGACATTATGTTTTTTCAGCATTTGATTGGTCAGTTGTAAATGGCTTATAGTTATTGCAAATAATTTTAATATCCATGGCATCCCTGTGGCAAGATTTTCAAAAATATAGGAAAGTTGATATATTTTCTCTTTCCATACCTTCCATTCATGATTGATGCTGATTAAAGGGACTCAAGCAATAGCAATAGCACTTAGACCAGGGGTCTTCAAACTTGGTCCTTTTATGACTTGTGGATTTCAGCTCCCAGAATTCTTCAGCCAGCATGCCTGGCTGAGGAATTCTGGGAGTTGGTCCACAAGTCATAAAAGGACCAAGTTTTAAGACCCCTGACTTAGACCGATTCACAATGCTTTACAGTCCTCTCTAAGTGGTTTACAGAGTCAGAATATTGCCCCCAACAATCTGGGTCCTCGTTTTACCAACCTGGGAAGGATGGAAAGTTGAGTCAACCTTGAGCCAGTGAGAATCAAACTGCTGTATTGTTGGCAGCTGGTAGTCAGCAGAATTAGCCTGCATTACTGCATTCTAACCACTGTGCCACCACGGCTCAATCAACATTAATATCTATAACTTCTTGATATTATTTTTTAGCATTTTCATATTCTGTCATTTTCTGGCTCCTCCTCAGAAGAGAGTTATGGTTCAGAACTTTTCACAACCTTCTGTATGTTGAATAGCTGAAAATTTGAGAAAATATTCCCTTTATTCTGTTTTTTTTTTTTATAGAAAAGTGTGGAAAGCAAATTAGGGTAATTATTCAGCAGATGATACAATAGAGCTGTTTGACTTCCCTATGCAAAGAGTTATTGCTCCTAGAAGAATTATACAATTTGTCTTCCCTGACCCTAGGGAAGCTGGAACTTCTGAAAACAAGAATGAAGATATGTAGAAATTAAAGTAAATGGGGGAGATGTTGACTTCTTCATATTACCTATGCTTTCTGTTATTAATTCAAGGGGTTGTTCTTGAAGACAACAGTGAGCAGCGATGGGCATGCGTCAGCACGCTCCTGTAACACCTCTGCTTTACGAGCTGCAGTGGCTCTAGCTTGCTTCTTAGTGTGATTCAGGATGCTGGTTACCATCTATAAAGTCCTTTATGGTATAGGGCCTTGTTAGCTGAAGGACTATTTATCTCCCATATTATCTGCCTGATCAATTCAATCTGGCAGGGTTGGCATGCTCCATGTTTGTTCAGTTCTGCAGTTTCCATAGGATCTCTTGGTTTACAGTCGGTAATGAAATGACATAAGAACACTTAGAGCACCAGTGGAGGAAGATGAGGGATGAAGCTAATAAAACACAGGTACAAGCCTTTATCAGGACTTATCTTGTTGTGGTAAGAGTGGCGAACCATACTTAAGTCTCCATTCTTATTGCATCCCCAGATGGCTGGCCAGCAGTCCAGTTTTGGATGACCAATTCTCCCTCCTAAGGGGTGTAGAATTAGTCCTTCCAGGATCACAGTGGAGATTATTCTAGACATCTATTGCATAAAGTCACTTGACTTTGGAATTGGATTCTAGATGAGAAGATCTAGCTTCTCATCCAGGGTCCAAGACCTGTAATCTGGATCCATTTAAGGGATGGCATATTGTTTGGTCCAAGGGATGGTATATGCCTTCTTATAGGAGGGGGTAGTTCTGCTGGCCTTGAAAGAGGCAGTGGATCACTCCTCCCCAGAAGGCCATCCTTGAACTGTATAGTTTTAGATAACTTTCATCCAGTCCCCAATCTTCCCTAAACACTCTTAACACTCTGTCAAGAGAGAAGTGAGCTCCCAACTAGAGAGGGCCTTGGATGAAGTGGATTATCTAGACCCTCTTCAGTCAGGATTCAGACTGGGATATAGTACCAAGGCATTTTGGTTGCACTTGTGGATGATCTTGGAGGGCTCAGGATGGGGGTGGTGTGTCCACCCTAATCCTTCTGGATCTCTCAGCAACTTTTGATACTATTAACATGGTATGTTGCTGGATTATTCCAGGGATTAGGAGTTGGGAGCAGTGTTTTTCAGTGGGTCTTTTCCTTTCTCCATAGCTAGTACCAGTGAGTGCTAGTGGGGAGGAGAGGACCAAGCTTAGACTCCTATTATGTAAGGTATGTTAGGCCTTGGATTCTCTCCCCTCCTATTTAACAACTATATCAGTCACTGGGAGAAGTCATCCGCTGACATAGGGTTCAGTGTCATCAATATGTTAATGATACCCAATTATACATCTCTACCTCATGCTAGGCAAGTAATGCTGTTCGGGTGCTGGCTCTGTGCCTAGGGGCTGTAAGCTCCTGGAAAGCAGGTGCTTACAGCCCCTGCAGTCGTGACTCAACTGCAGCAAGATAGAATGGTTGTGGAATTTCGGCCCTCCAGGGTGAGGAGAATTGCTGACTTTTGATGGGGAGGTAATACTACCTCACACTGGTGTGCAATTTGGGTGTCCTTTTGGACTCACAACTTCTGCTGAAAGAGCAGGTGGAAGCTGTGGCCAGGGTGGCCTTTGCACAAATCCATCTTGTGCACCAATTGCACCCATTCCTGTAAGATCCAGGAATAACCTTCTGTTTAGATTAGTTCACTAACAATTATTCCATCTTTATTTATGAGAAGATAAATTATACTACCATGAGACTATAACTATATCACCATGGATGCTAGATCTAAGATGTTGGACCTGGGGGTTCAGATGCTGTTCTTATGCAATCCTTTGGCCATGAAAAAAGTCTGGAAATTGAAGGAAGATGAATTGTTGACTAAGGAAGTCATGTTGACATAAAATATTTGATTTGCTTTCTGAATAAATGATGTCTAATTGGGCTGTCCCTCATAAGGACTGGGAGAATATATTAATGTTTGATTATTGTATTATCCAATGACATAATTTTTACTAAAATAAGCATATTTTATTTCTCTGCATTTGATATTTACTTGATTTATATTCCATGTCTCCTTGTGAAATGAGCACTGTGTCACTGATGCTTCTTTCAGCCCTGTTACTTTATTTTGCCCATTGATTGATATCTGAACTTTCTTAAAACTTAGGAGAAGCCACTTTTGTCAGAGGCAGCAAAGAGAAAGGAAAAAGATTTAGTAACTAAAGAAATAGAGAAATTTTGCAGCTCCATTCAGGCCCTTTGTCGGAGTGCTCTTCCTCTTGGAAAAATAATGGACTATATTCAAGAAGATGTAGATGCCATGAAAAATGAGCTTCAGACATGGCAGAATGAAAATAAAGAACTTGAAGAGACCCTGTGGAAAGAACAAGGGTAAGAGTCTTTAAAAAATTTAAACAATTGCAATAAAAGACTAGATTAATTCAAAGATTCATAGGGTTTTATGTACAGGACAAATCTGAATTGGATCTGTTTCTTTGACTGGATGTGCAAAACTGAGGAAGAAGACAAACTAGAAGAGGTCTAACACTTTTGTAGAAAAACACTGAAGGCAAAGTCATAGTAGCCTTAAAAACTGCATGGGTGTATGGGAAAGAATATTCTCTTTCAAGCTACCAGATATAACAGTAAGCACAAGCATGTGGGTTCTTCTGTTTCTAGGAAGAAAGCACAGTGCCAGGTTGAAGATAAGTAAACTGCTTGCCTCCCACAATTGAACTCAGGAAGCAAGGTTGCAAGTCCAGCAGGCAAAGATTAACAAATCCAGTGATGCTCTACCTTCTGTTCATCCCAGGCCTACCTGCAGTTTGAGCAAGATAGCCTTCTAGCCTTACCTGCAATTTCCAGTTGAAGTTGAAGAGATACTCTCTATAACATTCTTGTTACTTTATTATTAATGAAAGATGTGGCTGTTTTCTTGCAGTAAAATGATAGTTAATCCGTAACTACTATAGGAGGGGATAATAAAGTAAGTGTACTTTTTTACGTATTAATAATAGTCTGTCATCCAACATATTGTTGAATTAACTTTAATTTAGCACTAATTACTAACAGCCAGTTTTCTGTACTAGTTAAAGGCACCAGGCCAGATACCAGGATACTGTTGAATTCTGCCTTAGGCATCATGCTAGCTGAATGACTTTGGGCCAGTCACTCACTCTCATCAAATGCTGCCAAGAAAATTAAATGGATTTGTCCAGGCAGACTCCCAAAATCAAGCACATGTATGTGTGTATGTGCACACATGTGCACACACATATACACACATACCTAATCATTGTACAAAATAGTGCATCTACTATTTGATAGTGATTCTATTCACTGAAAAGAATTAAACATGTGAAGCATGAAGAATAACTATGTTGTTCTTTATTATATTGTTACCCATTGCTGATCTTTATTATGACACAAATGGCATAAGACAAAACACTATTGATGCATTTGTCCATCAATTTTGTAAGATGAATCTCCTTCATTTTACAGTCTAATGGAAAATGCGTAAGAATACTTGCTTAAATTGTTTTAGTTTAATCCGTTAGGATGATTTCTTTTCTCCTTTACTTCCCAGCACAGTAAAATCTCAAGATAACCTTATTATAATTAGTTCTCATCTTACAATCACAACTGAGCCTAGAATTGTGGTTGTAAGTCATGGTCGTTAAGTGAAACACTCATGTAGCTGCCTTACTCAATGATCACAATCATTGCAGTTAATCAACTGCACATGGTGCTTTGAGGGTGAGAGAGAGGTCTTGGGAGGCCCAGTGCCCACTGGCATGCAGAAGCCATTGGCCAGCTAGGCCCAGCAGTGCACAGGTCTTCTCCCTTATCACCCCATCCCCACCCCATTCCTGGCCAGCCTTGAAAAAGATTGCCTCTGTAGCCTTAAGAAAATTGCCTAGCTCTCTAACTCAGCCTTGCATCAGGTGGGTATGCTTGTCAGCAGCTGCAAGGGAAGGAAAAAATATGTGGACCTGGATATGTTGGGGCAAAGAAGGCGGTACGGGAGGCCAGGCTTCTTGGGAGTGGTGAGGGGAAGGCAGGAGAGCCTAGCCAGCTGAGGCCCTTTCGGAGAGGGAGGAAGGAAGTCTTCTTGGAGTTGGAGGGAGGCAGAAAGATTGCACGCAGCTGGCCTATTATTATTATTATTCCAATTTGTATCCCGCCCTTCTCCCGAAGGACTCAGGGCGGCTCACAACATTATTAAAACAAAGAGAGACCCACACACCCCACCGAATAAAACCAAATTAAAACCAAAATTTTAGTGTTGTGTGATTAAAATTTCTAAAAAACCCAATTTAAAAATCCTCCCTAGGCCAGGCCCGCTTGTTGG